TTATATATCATTTAATAAGCTTATTTTATTTTGTTAATTTCACCAACTTATATTGACAATTTTTTATCCCTTGACATCGTGTTTAAAGCTTTTTTAATAAACTTCTATACTTTACTCGTAAGCAATAGAAAAAATCTTTAAATTTATATCCTATATATAAACCTGAATTTGTTTAAATACCACAGATATGATGTTCACCATAACTCTTTGAAAACTGAATGGACAAATCGCAAAATAATGGACTGTCCTCTCCAATAGTGCACGGTTGGTCAGTCTGATTCTGGTTCGAGATATTCGGTGACTTGTGCCGAGTTTAGCGTTAATTGTGACATTTGAGTGGACAGTAAGCTTTCCGGTCGCTATGAGTTTAATATGACATGGATTAGCGATATGTCAGTTTTTAGTGCATTCAGTGGTGACTACCTGTTGGGTAAGGGCTGCCCTGAGGTCAGACGCTTGTTTCAATGGCGTACACACCGGACAGTTACCGCGCGTACAGTTTCTCCAGTGAGATATGATTTGTCGAGAGCTCGCACAATGGGGCACTTGACACGACCGGCCTATCATTGCATTCAATTGTAATCATAATAAGCATTCAATGCATTCAATAAATGTACCGGTATATTTAAAAATCAATTAAACATATCGATGACACAAAAATATAGACTATTCATAGAAATTTTTACATTAAAAGCAGAGTTTACTTATACAAGTTTTATAAGTTTGAATGAGTAAACTCTGCTTTTAATGTAACAATTTCTATTAAGTCACTATTTTCATTCATCTATATCGTTAATTAATTTTTTATATACATAGCATTACAACCCCACTTACCGGCAGTACATGTGGTCATATGGTTGAGGACATTCTTCATGGTTGGACAGTGGGGTAGAGTGCACTGCTGCTGCGGTCCCTTTCGTTGGCATTTGTGGGCGTGTAGTAAGAGTACTAATTGCTGTTGAATTAGTTTCCGCTTTTCGGCTTCAGTGGGCGTCGTTTGCAAGTCAGGCGGCGCTGCCATCGACTGCGGGTTCGCCGGTTGTCGCGGTTGTTGAGCCATATTATAGCCAAACGTTTATAACACGATTGAAACGCTTTGGTAATAATCTGTACATTCAGTCCGTCCATCAATTACGGCACAAATTATTGCACAAACTTTTATGACAACTTTTTTAGAACCCATTCCTTATTAGACTACCGGTGCAGGTGAGGCAAGTGTACTGTAATAGATGAGGTTATCCTGATCAAATCAAATTCATTATATGTATGGATTATAACCAGAGAGGGGTTAGTGGTTTTAATTAAAAGTTGATTGATGATATTTGCATAAGTTTATATGAAATTATAATTGATATTACTAAGCAACTAGTTTAAAAGTATACTAGCTCATTGACACAACTCTAACAAGTTAGTGAAATTTTATAAAGTGAGCATTTACAAAACTGTAAAAACTTGTATATAATATAAAACTCTCATCTAATATAACGCACAAAATTAAAAACTATTAAATTATTCATAAAACCTTAATGCTTTGAAATCATAAAATCACATTAAAACTATATAATATCCTGGTAAATAAACTACTACATTAGTTGTATTAGTACTGTATTAGTTGCTAAACATTTGTGGTTTTGCCATGTGACCTTGGTAAATGGGAGTTTAAAACTTCAATGTTTGAAACATTATGTTCCAAGCATTTTGTACTATTTGCACTATTCATAAAATTTATTATGCAATATGAAATTTAATTGCACTTATTTGTACCCAACATATAAACATGCGCACACAGGTAATTTATTATTGTTTTTGAATTGCATATAAATACTTAAGCATTGTAGAATGACAAACTAACATTATATTATAATAGTTTATAATTGCTTAAATATTTACTATATTATTCAGTATATAATATATTTACTATAAAATATAATTACATATTTAATTAAGAGCAAATTATTTAATTGTAAATCATAGTATTATTTTTTAAATGTTTTAAAATTTGAATTACTAATCAAAATCATTTGGGGTATAAAGTGATAAAATTATATCGCAATGCTTAACAAACTTTGTTTTTTGGGTCTGGTTATAAAGACCTGGGTGAAACATCCGAGTCACCTTAAATTTTTGTCCGGAACACTTAAAAAAGGTATGGAACTATTGTATTTTATATCAAGTTAATATATTAATGTATTTATATTTTATATAGTATCATAATATTTTTTTTAAAGTAGTAGGTTTATTTGTAAATTTAAACACGATGTCAAGGGATAAAAAATTGTCAATATAAGTTGGTGAAATTAACAAAATAAAATAA